ATATATATATATATATATATATATATATATATATATATATATCTTACTGCTACCTGTCACAATCAACTTCATGAATTTACGAGAGACGTTGGTAGTTTACCACTGGATGAAATTAAAGCTCGCATAAGGTGCCAGTCGTTGAACGTGAGAAGTAGAGAGAAAACAAGTATTGCGATGATGAATAACAAATGTTTCTTTTGAAAATGCATTTAGATGTTCTGGCATCCAATATTCAATTTTGGGTAAGCGAAAGTCAATGGTAGCTTTTTTAAGGTTGATGCTTCATATATCACAAATGGTGCTTAATGTCATGAATGGATGTTAGGACGGCCGAGAGGGGAGCATCAGCTCGTTAATCCAACTCAGTGCAAAACACGCCACCATCCAAGAAAGGAAATTGGAGTTATTCCAAAAAGTTAATATTCGCCCTGCTATTTCGTACAAATCAACTCAAATTTTAACGGGACATCGAGCATCAACATATGCTCGCTCGTCTAAGTTGCAGTATATGGCTTGGTACCAAGAATTAAGTTTTTCTCACTACTACCCAGTTTTTCGTACGATAACTTCTTACAATTTTTGCATTCCTACGATCATTGCAATAGTAACAAGACAAAGAATAAATTAACCGCCGAGAAAAATGAAGATTTAAGATATGAAGCAAAAATTAGTTGAAATTACCTTGATGGTGTGCAGTAGTCCCTTCTGTGCACTCTGCCAGTATCCCACAAATTGAATGGATAACTCATATAGCATGCACCTGCCACAAAGGCTAACGTGATCACGCCCGAATAGAACTGCTCAAACCACATTGGCACCTATAGTGAGGATAGTTGCAGGATACGTGACAGCGCCTGTCAATCCAATAGTGAAAGAATGAATAATTAGAGCTGGAATAACTAGAGAAATAAATACTTTCTTAAATGATTGGAGAGGAGAAACTAATCTGAGTTCTATGTAGATTCTGCTTTTACCTTATAGCCATATATTATAGCCTATACCAAGTGAAAGCAAAATAGGGAAAGCTAGGAGCTAAAGTTCTGAAGCTTAAGAAGTGGTCCTTAACTATCATGATTCACGGAAACATCTATCAAAAGCCTATATAAGAAAACCGGTTAAGCTTCAAAAAAATGTACCAGATTCATGGCCATTCGAGCCATAGAAAGGAAAGACAATAACTTGTTATAGAAGGATCAAGATTTCAACAAAATTTAGAGGTCTAATAAATTATGCCACAGGTTGCCGCTTTTGTTAGTAGAATATGAGGGTCCCCAACCCTTTCCCTCTGACCTCGTGGACAGCAGTAGCTAGAAGAGCAACGCCAGTGCTTTGTCAAGTTCATGTAAATTATACTATTGACTGTGAGTTGAAATGTTGAATTATAAGACTTCTATTTGATACGGATTATTTCAAGCTCCTCTATCCTCAACTTATATGAATTTCAATTTCTTCATAGACTGAATCGAAGATGTACGGAAATTTCAAAATTATCGGAATAGGACAATTGGTACTTCTTCCAACTCAATTTTGACTTCTTTTGCTTTCTTTTTCTAAATTTTATGCAATTGTTAAAACAACATCATTCATCAGATTTTGATAGATATCTTTCTTTTAATAAATAGGTGAGCTAAATAAGCGCAAGGAGGCCGAACCCTCAGCCAAATCACAAGCAAAGGTTCCCATAAAAGAGAAAGCTAAGCAGAGGGGAAGATTTTAGTGTACTGCGTCGTAGCCCTGTCTAAAGTAACTTATTTGCGATAGGTTTTTTATGTAGTCAAGAAGGTCAACAAATCATTTAATCCTACACTCAAAGAATAGTCGGAGTGATCGTCAAGCGAACCATACTTTGCCAACTTAAATGCACAATCCACTTCCACTGGAGCAATGAGACAGTTCATGGCATTATATAATTAACACTTAAACAATAAGGTGTAAAAAGAAAACTCCATCTGCGTGAAAAATTGATTGCTACGATTCAGCCGTATTTTCAGCACAGTGTGTACTGCGTATAACGTGCTGCAAATCACGCGTCTTCGTGTCATGCGAAAATCGCGTGAGTTCGGAAGTGGTGGTTTGATCGCAGCATACTGCTGCATTAAATTTTAAAGTGCAGCTATCATATTGTGCAATACCTTATTGCAGTACAAGTCCATTCTCCCCATGCTTACTTTGCCATAAAGTTTAATTCTATTGGAAATTTGCGCACAATCTTTCCAATTTATAATCTGGTCGCCTTCCAGTGGCTTAACCTTCGTTTTAAGTGTTTTCTTCGCTGACCAAATCTGAAATATTCAGGAAAACGGTTTTCCTTGCCAAAGGGAGTTATCTGTAATGCTGAGCGATACAGAAGCATTCGTTGCTCCCCGCCTTTTTATTTTGAATGATAGGTGGGCTTATTCAGTGTTATTTTGTTGGAAATGTACCTCTCGATCATTTTTTTAGTTTAGCCATTAGCGCTTCTTTTTTGGAAAATTTTTATCTCGAGCAAGTCCTCACAGAAATACGGATTTGTCTTGTGAAGATGCTGTAACTTAGGTCTGGAGACTAACCTTTGGCAAACGTCCACTATGAGAGTTTCGATTTGCCGTCAGCGGCAAATAGTTTTTCTCATAAAGGAAATTTACCCTATTCGAAGTAAATGAGCCCGTTAAATCCATCGAGTATACCTTTTTATAGTCCTTGCTTTTCTATATTTGAAACGATCCTATTTTGCCTCATTTTCTATTGAGTTTTGAATATTCAATATATTACCATTCACTTACGAGATATATACCAGCGAGTGAAGCAAACACTAACTATCAGTGCTACCTTATCTGCAAAATTTATTTTTGGAGTAAGTTATAAAAGCTCATTTTTCCCGCAAAAACAGATTGTTGCGCAACTTCCACAACCTCGCGCTTCCTTTACAGAGGAAAAGTATCTGCGCTGCTCCAAAAGGCAGACGAAAAGCGGAATTGAACGTCGTTTTAAACCCTTATTCTTGTAAAATGAAGAAATAGTAGTAATGGCTTAGCAACCTCCCAAAGAAATTTTTGTTCTCTTGTTTGGACGCAATACCTCAGAATGTTCTTCAGTTTTCTTTTGAAGTCTACTGCCTTTTCAGATCTGCAGAATGACCTCAAATAAACTGCGTAATCGTGACTTATTGGATAGATCTCTCAGCAAGAAGAATGTGTCTGAGGATAGTCAACCGAATCAGTCTGGAGGTACCACTTAACTAGTGTATCGTCTACTTTTTTAATAGTGTATCTTTGTTTTGAGAACTAAAAGCTTTTATTTACATGCTTCTGATCTACGCCAAAATTTTATCATTTATTCAGTGGAGAACACATAGTTAACATCTAAAACTTGATTTTTCAGATACTGATGGTCAACTGTTCTACTGCACCGTTCGCAATATTCCCTCTGAAATGAGATCAAAAGATCTGCGCATATACTTTTCAGACTATGTTGAAAATGGAAAATTCCATTGCTTTCATTTTAGACATCGGCCGGAACATCAACAACAGGTAATTGCTCAGTCAATAGTTGTTTGTTTAAGTGATTCTCGTCATGCTTTTCCTAGAATTTGTGTGGAAGTGCTTTGCACTAGTCCACGCGCTTATGCTTTGTTTCATGTTTTTTTTTCCTCTTTAGCTCAGCGCTAACTCAATTTTCATTGATCAGTACGTAGATAAATTAGAAGAACTGATTTATGCCATTCAGAGTACGGTAACGGGACAGGAAGCAAAAGTTAAGAAAGAATCTTTAACCTCATGCTGCATAATCAGTTTCACTTCAAGGGAAATAAGGTAAGCGGAGTCGCACATCACCGCCGCCTTGTCTTGATTAAAAGTTCTTGCTTTATTTTTCATTTTAAAGCTTATCGTGGTGAAAGCTCGCTATCACCTGTAAAAAATTATGACGAAGTACAGGATTTAATATTATTATAGATCGGAATTTATCCGAGATTACCATGGTTCTCACTGGAAAAACAGCGAAGGAATGGACATTCCTCGAAGATGCTTTGTCAGTGCAGTCAAAGTCACAAAGGTAAGATATAAATTCAGCGTGCCGTTGTTGTTCTTGTTATGTTGTCTTTTCGTTGTGTCATATAGAAAAAAAAGATTTTCAAATGTGTAATTCTGAAAAACCATGGGTTGTTCATTTCTTAGGGTAACGAATGTACATCCGATTGTGTTACCGACGTTGATTTACGACAAATGATTGAATTACGTCCACCATTGGTAATGCCACATGGCAATGTTGGCACACCTACACAATACTTCCTGGATCAGGTATGCTTATAC